GGATGAAATGAGATAGTGTATAAAGTCACTTTGCAAACCTTAAAGCACTATAAAAATGCTACCAATGATTATTATTACCTCTGAAAACCCTTCTTTCCTTCTTTTAGGAATGACCCTCCATGATTTCAAGAAGGTTTCCTACAAAATTGCAGAAGTAGATACTGCAGTCTGAGAACTACATGGAAATTCCAGGAACTGAATGGGGGTGGGGGTGGAGAGCTACTTCTGCCCTTCCAGGTAAAATACCCACAGACATGTACTAGCAGTCTACTTCAAAGGCAGGTTGTCTCTGGCTGCTAATATGTCTTGTCTTAGAAATTAAAGTAGAAGCCGTAAGTCAAACATAGCCTCCCAAATATTCTAGTTAACCTAAGAAAGTCTGGGAACTAATGGTGAATGAGCTGGTCACCTTTACCACCAAGGTGAAATGAAGGCTGTAACCTAATATGAAGACTCTCTCTCCACCCATCCACTACCCTCCACCCCACAAAAATCTCACCACTCAAATTAGTAGCGGCTTGTACATTCTGTGAACCCTGCCAGAGTATGACTAAGGGTGTTAAGATCTCACGCCAGAGGGTCAATTCAGATAAGGAAATGCACAAAAGAATGAACAAGTAAGGCAAAGAGAAAGTAGGAAGAAAAGTTGATATTCTAGATCAATAATTCCCTACTCTTTGGAATATGAGGACCCCTTTTTAATATCCCCAAAAATCCCAGACCCCTGCACAATAAGAATCATGCTATTATTACTGTTCATTGATGGAGAAAATATGAAAGTAGATGACAAATGGCTAATATAAATTCAGTAAAGCTTTTAAATCAATGTGTATTTTCTTTATCATAACAGCATCAGTCAGTCAACAAGCATTTATTAAGCACCTACTAGGAGCCAGGCACTTTGCTAAGGTTCAAGGGATACAAGTGCAAAGAATAAAACAATCCTTATTCATGAGGAGTTTACCTTCTAAAGGGGAAACAAGTATATATAAACTATATCTAGCCAAAATATAATATGCATATTATATATATATATATATTCCTGATCCTCCCAACTCCCTTCCAAATGACTGTTGTATTTAACTGATTCATACATATTATATGTCATATTGGGAAATATTATATTCTATATTATAACATAGAATAGGAAATATGTAAATATTTCTTAAATATAGGAATATATTTATATATTATAGGTTGTATATAATATACTATTTTGTTTTTTTTCAGTCATGTCTAAACAAATTCATGACCCCATTTGAGGTTTCTTGGCAAAGATACTGGAATGGTTTGCCATTTCCTTCTCCAGCTCATTTTACAGATAAGGAAATTGGGGCAAACAAGGTGAAGTGACATGCCCAGGGTCACATAACTAGTAAGTGTTGGATTTGAACTCAGGAAGACTCATTTTCCTGACTCTAAGCCCAGCACTCTATTCACTGTGCCACCTGGCTGCCCATGTTGTATATAATATAATAGAAAATTTATAAAAATATGTATGAAGAAGTTAAGTACAAGGTAGTTTGGGAGGGAGTTGAGAGGAATCCAAAAAAGTTCTTGGCTTCTTGAAGAAAATGGTGTATCTTGAAGGAAAGGAAGGACTTTATGAGAAGTAGTATGGAGAAAGTGCTTTCCAGACATGGAGGATAGCCAACCCTTGCAAAGGCCCAGAAAATAAGAAATGGAATATCCCTGGTAAGGAAAAAAGAGAAGGCCAGTTTGGCTGGATCAGAGAGAGCAGGAGTGAGACTAATAAATGTACAATGAAGCTAGAAAGATTGGTCAGGGCTAGGTTGTGAAGGACTTTTTTAATTAATTTATTTTGATTTATCAACAGTCACTTCCATATGCTTTTGAATTCAAAATTTTTCTCCCCCTTCCTCCCCACCACCCTCCCCAAGATGGCGCACAATCTGATATAGGCTATACATTTACAATCCTATTAAACATATTTTCACATTAGTCATGTTGTAAGGAAGAATTAGGACCAATAGGAGGAACCACCAGAAAAAGAAAACAAAACTCAACAGAAGAGAAAAAAAAAATAGCAAATAGTATGCTTCGATCTACATTCAAATTCCATAGTTCTTTCTTTGGATGTGGATAGCATTTTCCATGTGAAGGACTTTTAAAAGCTAAACACAGAAGTTTACTTATTTCCCTATGGGCAATAGGGAGACACTAGAGTTGTTTGAGTAAGGGAGCAACATGGTCCTATCTACCTGTAAGGAAACCTGCTTTGGCAGCAGTGCGGAGGATGAAGTAGAGTGTGAAAAGACTTGAGGCAGAGAGACCAATTAAGAAGAAGTTACAATAATCTAAGAAAGAGGAGATACGGGCCTGAACTAATGTGGTAGTTGTGAGAGTGGGAAGATGTATTGTTGTTGTGTTGTTTCAGTCATGTCTGACTCTTTGTGGCCCTATTTGGGGTTTTCTTGGCAGAGATACTGGAGTGGTTTGCCATTTCCTTTTCCAGCTCATTTGACACGTGAGGAGACTGAGATAAACAGGGTTAAGTGACTTGCCCAGGGTCAGACAGCTAGTAAGTGACTGAGGCCACATTTGGACTCAGGAAGATGAGTCTTCTTGATCCCAAGCCTAGTGCTCTATCTGTTGTGCTGCCTGGCAATCTGTATATGTGTGCATAATATTCTTTATTCATTCCATAGAAGGTATACTTATTTGTTTATTATTCTGAGCCATTTAATGAAATGGCCAATGAGCAGATGATTTGTTGTTGTTGCTACATATAGTCCACTTGGTTAAAAAAACAGTGCATTATTAAATTTATCAAGGTAATAACAAAATTGCCCTATATAAGTGTGTCCCCTCCTGAATATCTTTTCATTTTTTCTGTGTATTTTAAAATATTTTATGGATGATCTTTTCTTTCTTTTATTTTTATTCTTTGCATCTCTAGCACTTTAAGTTTTTGCCAAGATTTTCTCTTATGACTTCTGAGGGGAGTAATGTAAATATTATTATTCTCCTTGTATAGATGAAGAAATTGAGACTCATAGAGAGGCTTATGGTTATGCAGCTAATACATATTACAATTGGGATTTGAGCACAGTTATTTGGAGTCTAAAACCAGGGCTCTTTTTCCTATATAATGAATTATAATGAAAATGTAAAGGATCTGAAAAAATTTTTCCATATTTTTTTATATTGCTACATGTGACTCAAAGTAATTCTAGAATCATATACAGTCAAGTTCATATCTTAGGGGCTTCTCAATAAGTGTATCTCTTTGGCTCATACCCCAATTCAATATAACCCTAGGAACATCTGAAACCGAGTTGTTTTCAGTTCTTATCTTTGGGTTCTCGGTTCCCTTGTAAGTAACTAAAGCATGAAATACAAGTATATCTTACACAACAACAACAACAACAACAAAAAACAAAACAGAGAAGTAACTTGTACTCAGTCCCATAGATAGTAAAAATATATACATATTCCTTTCTGGTTGGTTCCATCTCCCCTACAAATATGTGATATTCCTCTGGGATTGAAGTTCTACTAAGGGAAAGAAATGAGAGAATCAGGAAATCCACCCTAATGGTGAACCCCATCTTCCCCAGAACCATACCATTTTTCTAGACTTACAATGCATCCTTGAGATTGAGGTCACCCCAAGGTCTATAAAGAGACAACTCCAGTCCCTGGGCCTACATGATCCGCATGACTCACAATACCATCATAGAGCATGGTTCATATTTGTTCCTCCACATCTGACTCTCTGCCTTATTGTTCCTCATCTCTGCCTGTATTAGTTCACACCCGTCTTCCCAAGTTCTGAATTTGAATCAGGAGCTCTTTGCTTGGTCCGGAAGCTTCCTTGACACTCTTCTGGCACTGCCTCCATATATATGCAATGATGCTCTCACTTTCTCTATCTCTGGCTCATGTGAATGAAACTCTGCATTGTCCTGCTTCTTGCACCATTGGAGACATAGTTGTTTATTGTCCTACCTTAGATGCTGCCTGCATTGATTCCATCCATTTTCACTTTCCTCAGGAAAGTGTTAACACCTCCCGCTGTTAGATAGCCAGGGACAATGTATCTCTGAGCTAGTTAAAAGATTGCCCGCTTTCTTGTTAGCCCCACAGTTTACCACCTACAAAATGTCACCTTGGGTGGCTATGCAGACTTTTTCAGAGTATTCAATTAAAGGTCCCAGACCTTACTCTAAGTTGATATGGAACAACTGAATTCTGTTTATCTCTTCCTGTCCTCAGAATACAGGCAGTCTGCCTTCCTCTTCTCCACCCCACATATAGTCTGCACATCCAATTTAGTCTTTTTTAAGCAAAAGGAAAACATCCATACCTCTTTCCATTCACCTTTTTGGACTCTTGTCATACTGACCAAAGTCAGGCCGTGCAAATTACTCCAAAGCCTAGAGAAGCCTCCAACAATTGAAATACCAGAGATAAAAGAGGCAAAGCTGGTATTCGTTGCTGTCTAGGACAATACATTCGCAATGGCTAGGCTCATTATTCCCTTTACAATACCATTTGGGCAGTTAGGTGGCATAGTGGATAGAGTGCCAGGCCTGGAGTCAGGAAGATTGCTTCTCCTGAGTTCAAATTCAATCTTAGACACTTACTAGCTATGTGACCCTGGGTAAGTCACTTCACCCTGTTAGCCTTGGTTTCCTCATTTGTTAAATGAGCTGGAGAAGGAAATGGCAAACCATTCCAGTATCTTTGCCAAGAAAACCCCAAATGGGTCACAAAGAGTTGGACACAACTAAAAAATGACTAAACAATAACAAAACAGTACCATTAATAAGAAGCATTTTAAAAAAGCATATCAAAACATATTACTGAAAGGTTCTACTGAAGTTTTCCTTAAAGCAATGGGTTCTGCACCTGAGAGCTTCTGTCCTAGAACTGTTTGACTGTGGATATGACCACAACCATCAACATTGAAGAGATTTCAAGAAATGCAGGGCATGTAAATATTTGAAAGAGAACTAGAATTGTAACTAACTTACTTTGGCCACGGGAATCCTGAATATTGCTGAAATTAAGCCAGTCCAATGCAATTTTCCAAATTCTAGAAAGAAAAAAATAGAAGAAAAAATTCACAAACTAGCATAACAGTATTTTTTCACCTACCTAATCAATGTTAATTGTTTACACACGTCAACTCTTTGCTTCTTTATTAATTAGGAAAAAAATTACCTCTAATGATATAGAGTAAGGAACTCTAGACTGGAAGTCAGGAAACCTGGGTTTGAATCTAATAGTTACAGCTGGGTGTCCATGCGCAAGTCGCAACCTCTCTGAGAACTAGTTTCTTCATCTATAAAACAGAGACAATAATACTTGTACTCACAGGGTTGTTGCGGGGCAAGTCTTGAAGTGTTCTATAAATGTAAGCTATTTTTATTCAAGAAGTCCAATGATTCTCAAGTTATGTCTCCTTGATACATTTTCCAGGTCAGTTGTTTTTGATATATCTTACGATTTTTTTATTTTGTTCTGGCATTTCTTGCCATCTCATGGACTCAACAATTTGTCTGATCTCTTCCATCTTTCAGAGGAGTTATTGTTATTTAGCTTATTTTTTTCCCTCTTTTCCTTATTTAATATGGCTGAATTTTATGGTCACCTACTTTACATGGTGTGACTTAAATGCACTAGTCATTTAAGCTCAAACAATTTATAGCTTTAGTGTCTCTAGATGACCTTTATCTAATAGTGTCTAAATATGCCAATCACCAGTCCTCTTTTCCCAAACATTTTATAACAAACATTTTATAAATCATAGAATCGCTGTGCACTATATAGGGATACCTCTAAAAACATTCATTGAACAAAAAGTCATTAGAATTTAAGCAGTAACTTCAGAGAGTTCATAGACCTTAGGATTCCATGAATACACCATTTTGGGACTTGTTTCAAAATATTAGCGGTAGAAACTCAGCTTACATGTCCTCACTGTTGGTAGCCCCAGCAAAAAGGCAGGCTTGAGCATTCCCCAAGGCTATTAACCATGGCTGCTGCCTTCCTATCCTTTCAGCTCAAGTGAATTCCACACTCTGCTTACTGTATTGTGTTTCAACAATTTGTTCTATATTTCCTCCAATGCTTACTCATTTTCCATCTATACAGTGAGGGAGTTGGAGCACATGACCTCTAAAGCCCTAAGAGTCCTAAAATCTCAAGTGCTTAAATAAAATTCAGGAGGGCATAAGAGTAAGATGGAAAGGTTCTCCCTCATCCTACTCCTTCCCTGTGAAGGGTGAAATCATGAAGTTTGTCTTTGCTGGTCTTCCACCTCCATTTAAAAAACCCTCTTTCACTTCCTAGTACAGTGGTTCCCAACATTTTTTGTTCATTGAATCCTTTCTGATAAAAAAAAGTGTTGTGAACCTCTAAGGCAATTTAATATATTACTCATAATATTCTTTACAATTATTTACTGCTTAAGGCCCCATTAAAGAATTTTTAACAGGAATCCTGTGGAACCACTACATGAGAACCATTGCATAGAATATAAGCTCCTTGAAGACAAATGCTGCTTTGTTTATGTCTGTATGCCTGGCACCTTGTACAATACCTGACGTTTAGCAGTTACTCAGCGAATACTTATTGAATTTAACAGAATTCCTAATATCCTTCTCCCCAGGTCCCCAGGACCTTAATGCTTTAGCTAGTATAAGCTCTCATTGTTTGGGTTTTGATGACTCAGAGTGAGTGTAAATAGCAATAGGTTCTGTTCTAGCCAGAAACCCAAAGGGTCTTCCCCTCCCAGTTTTATTATTTTTTTTAATAGGCAAACTAGGCAATCTTTTGTCTCAATTCTTACGTAGCCTTAAATCACTGAATGAGTGTTGCCTCAGACAGACTAAGACCTGGGAAAGACCTTAGCTTAAAAAGGCCAAGGACACCCACTACATCAGGGGCCATCTCCAGTCATCCTGATCTATATCTTGCCACTGGACCCAGATGGCTCTGGAGGAGAGAGTGAGGCTGGTGACTTCGCACAGCCCTCCTTCACTTAAATCCAATTCACTTGCAAGTCAAGACATCACCCTTCTGATGTCATCAATCTTCGAGAATGAAGGACAAACAACAAGAACAACAGTAAGTATAGACTCTTTACTGGGGTTCTCCAACCTAGGCTCCCAAAGTATTCCATGCTCCACAATAATCTCCCTTCCCTACTCACCTCCTTGAATGAATATGTCTATGTCCTCAATACCACTGATGTCAGCTGTTTGGAAGAATACAAACAGATTGAGTCACTTCATAGTAATGGGTAATTGACAGAAATGAGTATATCAGCATGGATTGCCTTTGGAAAGCTATGCAGTATTTTAAATTGTCCCAAACTGCTCTCTGCTGCCAAAGCTGACTTTTTTCTCCCAGTAATGATATTAGACTGAGAAACATCGAATCGTATCTGAGAAGAATCAAAATTATAGTAACACAAATGGGAAGGGAAAGATGCATGGTAAACATACATAAGCTGTAGCATATTAGGCATGATTATTCTGTGTGAAAAGTGGTATAAAAGACATCATTAAAAAGATGTATGGCTGAAAAAAATGTATGTTCATGTAGCAAGAATGAGAGGCAATGAATGGTGACCCAGAAGGTGATTTGATAGACTTATGATGTCAATTTGGACCACAACCCAGTTGCATTTTCTCATCCTGGATGATTCTGACTCACATCTTCTTGTCAATCTCCCCCAGCTGGTCCACTCAGTGTAACTTCGTTCAGGTTTCTTGATTCTACATGGGTACTAATGGCACACATGGGTTAGCCATCTGCTCTCCTTCACTCTTGCTACTTGACAGGCCAGATTCCTTTTTTTTTCTGCTCACAAATATCTACAGTGATATCATTTATTTTTCTTCTCTTGTGAAATATGCCTTGTTTCTGCTTCTTAGAATATTAGCTTTTTGTAGTCAAGGATTGTCACTTTTGTACTTGTATTCCAAAGCACTTAGCACAGTGACTGGGGCACAGTGTTTTTTTTTTCATTCATTCATTGATTCATTGGGATAATATGCAGTAGCCCATTTATGCCCACCGTATATCTCTCCATTGCCCTTTGAGTAACCTGCTATTTTGAGACTTTAAAGATTGTGGTACTCCATAATTTGAATCATACAACATCACTGGAAGAATATCTATGTTAAATAAGATCACCTTTTGTTTTATCAAGAAGCCTGGGATCATGAAAAACATTATGTAGTTTCTCAAATGAAATTTAATTCTGAGCATAGTTCATCATCTGCATGTATTATCTGTTTGATATATTTGTTCTGATGAATCAGATCTAGACACTGTCTACTCAGCTGCCTATCAGTAGAGACAACAGCTATTCTTTCACATGGTTTTTCCAGTGAAGATAGTTAGACTGATTGATTATTTTTTTTGTTCGTGTGTGTGTGTGTGTGTGTGTGTGTGTGTGTGTGAGAGAGAGAGAGAGAGAGAGAGAGAGAGGCAGAGACAGAGAAGAAGACAGAGAGAAAGAGACAGAGAGAGATTATGAACCTCATTTAAGAGACTGCAATATTCCTCGGGTTTAATGAAGTCAGTAAAATGTCATCTGTAAATCAGAACATCCAGAAGATATCACCATCAATAGAGAATTCTATTTCCTATTTTGGACTCTGCATTGGATACCCTCTATTATGTGGCAAGCACCTTTGATAAACATAGGTCTCTGTCTTATAGATCATTTAATATTAATAAGAGCAGGGTTATCAAACAAAGTTATCTCTGCTGGGTCTTTCAATGGGCCAGATCTATTATAATAGCATACCCTACATTCTCATTTTTTAAGCCTTATAATTTGGCGTTCAGATTTCAATCTTTGTTTTTACATGTCAGTATTTTGTTGGTATTGGTATTATTGTTGTTGCTGAGTCACTTCAGTATAGTCAGACTCTCCATGACAGTATTTTTGGGGTTTTCTTGGCAAAGATACTAGAATGGTCTGCCATTTCCTTCTCCAGCTCATTTTACAGATGAAGAACTGAGGCAAAGAGCCATTGCCCCATGCACCTTTGCATTGAAGTAACTGATTATTGAATTAATGTTGATTGAATTCAGAGGCTCTTAACAATTTCTTTTTTTGAATTTCTCCTTATCCTTGTGTCCCCAGAGCTTAGCATCATGCCCAGAAAATACTTAACAAATGCCTGTAGTAGAGAGAGGTTGGCACAAAAGCTGGAATATCTTTATGGTGGTCTCTTTCCAAATGGACAAAGAATACTATCATGAGCACTGCAATGTGAAGACACTAAGTGTCCCATGAAGTGATGATTCTTGTTACCTTTGCATCCATGGTAAAACCAACTGTACCAATTCCAATTTTGGCATTTGCTCCTCCAAGGAGAACCTATGAATCATCCCCCACCTAATTACAACTTTCTTTTATTTTCTGGTGTCATTGATATCAAGAACAAGAATGTTGACATGGCTTTGCTCCTTTAGCTGGATGCTGATTTGATGGTCCCTGGATTAGAGGCTCAAACGTAGAATGTCTTTGTTGTTCAGTCGTGTCTGACTCTTTGTGTCCCCATTTGGGGTTTTCTTGGCACAGATACTGGAGTGACTTGCCATTTCCTTCTCCAGCTCATTTTGCAGATGAGGAACTGAGGTGAACAGGGCTAAGTGACTTCCCAGGGTCACAGAGCTAGTAAGTGTCTACAGTCAGATTTAAACTCATGAAGATGAGTCTTCCTGACTTCAGGCCTGGCACTCTATGCACTATGGTGCCACCTCGCTGCCCCCAAATGTAGAATACCAATAGCTAAATAGATACTTATAGCCAATCTACATCCTGTGTGATGTTTAACACTCTCTGCACCTCTCCTCTTGCCCCCCTTTTTTGGTCACTGCCAGAAGGACCTGTAGAAGTCAAAAAGGGTCCTATGCTGGAATAAGGGGCATTTTGTGTTCTTTATGGTTTCATAAGTTGCCGTTTGTCAAATAATTGCTTTTCCCAAAGGCATTAAAAGAACCAGAGGAAGGCTTCCAGTGCATTGGGTCAATAGTCCATGGACGATTTAGGATGGACCTGAAATTCCACAGGATGAGAAGGCATGTTAGCATTACAATTTAGACTAACAGAGGAACTATTTATACCTATGAGACTGTAGATCCATTTAAGTAAGTATCCAAATATCCCTTGACAATGATGACAATAATAATAATAACAATAATAGCATTTATGTAGTACCTATTATGTACCAAACACTTTACAAATATTGTCTCATTTGTTCCTCACAAAACCCTTGGGAGGTAGGTGCTATTATCATCTCCATATACAGAGGAGGAAAATGGGGCAGAGGTTAAGTGACTTGTCCAAGGTCACTCAAAAAGTAAGTGTCTGCGGCAGGATTTGAATTCAGGTCTTCCTGACTCCAGGCCCAGCACTCTATCCACTGCTCTATCCAGCTAACTTTCCCAGATATATCTGGTATAGTATAGAGGACTGGATTTAGAGTCAGTAAGAAATGGATACTTACTTGCTCTCTGACCCTGGGCAAATCACTTAACCGCTACATGCCTCAGTTTCCTCATCTGTTAAATGAAGGGGTTAAATTCTATGGTCTCTAAGGGCCCTTCTAGCTCTAAGCTGTTGAGTCTATGATCCTATATGTTCATTTAAATATGGACATTAGATATAATGCTATTTAACCTGAGAAAATCTTTAATTGGTGGAGTTGAGAACTATGTCAAAATTAAAAATTTCAGGCAGTATTGGGGAAGGAGGCAATTTTTGAGGAGAGGACAGTTCCTTGTGCAGACTGGCCCTCCTTGCAATTCATCCTTTCAGCTGTTGCTGACTCTCACGACATCTTCTTTTTCTCTCTTTCTAAATCCAAGATGTTTCAAAAGCCACATGTACTCACTCACACCAGCTCCAAGGGCCTTGTGTAGTCCTAGGATTCTGATGATGGATGCTGGGGACAGGGTGGAAGAAGAATGGTCGTGCGTAGGTCTGGGACTACCTGTGTAGTAAGAATTTAAATATGGCCATTCGCCTTTCCCCCCACTTACACACTTTGTCCAGCCCTGTTAAGTTTCCTATGTCATTAACGTCAGGGTCTCCTGACCTCTAACCCAGACATGCCCTAAGAGAGAGGGAATGACTCAGAAAGTGTTGTCAGGGGTTTGGCTTTTCAATAATCTTGTCACACAGATTCATCACAGTCAGATCTCCTAGTTGTTCTCCATGCCCAAGGCCTTGGACCACACGGTCACACCGCCCACTGTGCCAGATTCCTCAGGGGAATACAGGGGAAAAACATGCACAGGAACAAAGGGAAGGACTGCCCAACATGCCTAACCCCAACCGTTTGCTGCCATTTGGACGAAAGCAACCTAATTGAATTATTTCCTTCTAATATTTGAATGACAGAATTAAGCAGGAGGATGAGGTCAGACTGGATTAGATTTGGGGAGCTGAATAGTGCATGCTTTCAATGATCCCAGATTGCTCCGGCATTCTTCCTCTTCTCTCAGTCGGCAGTCAGGCACAGTTCTACCAATGCATTGTTAAAGAACTTCGTTTACAAACACCAAAGGTGTAAATCCTAGTTCTTCTGGCTAAAATGTGATGGCAGCCTGAGCTTGGAAGGCAGACCCTAGCACTCAGGGCTACTGGCTGCACCTGCTGTCTGCCTATGCTAACCTCCTCTGCCCCTGCCTACTCCACACACACACACACACACACACCTCTCTCCATCACCTCTCTTGCTTCGTACTAGATTCCCACAAGTCACCTGGCATTCCCTGAATTCTTCATTCATTTCTCCTGATAATTACATCCAGTTTGCATGAAATTGTTTCTCTTACTAATTACTTAGGATTTATAATCTTCTTCAGAGATACATTATTCTCCCATAGGAATTTCAGAGACAAAAGTCCCTAAACAAGTCAATGCTTTTCTGGGCTGTGATAACCTGGAAGGCTGGACTTGGAATCAGAAATCTTTGGTCTGAATTCTGACCCTGCCACCTTCTAACTGCATGACTTTGGGAAAGTCACTTAACCTTTCTGAAGCTCGATTTCCCTATCTGTAAAACATAGATAATAACAATGTACACTGATTACTTAACAGATGAGGATCAAATTAGATGATGTATGTAAAACACATAGGGTTTGCTGATTATTTGCAAACCATTAGTGATAAACGCAAACCAAAAGGACACAATTATACTTTTACTGGTCAGCTTCGTTGGGCAGACATGCAGCTTTCCATTCTAATGCCTGAGAGGCAAGGCTGTACCAGTAGCAGCTCCAGGAATGCCAGGCCACTGTAGAACTATAGGCCAAGTGCTGATTTATAATAAGAAAGCAAAGGGAGTTGAATTAATTCCCAATGTGCCAATATAGGATAAGCAAACTCCAAGTTACTTATTAATACAATAAATAATGAGTAAGTTAGATAAGATTTCTCCTAGGGGTTGGTCCAAATGTTGGTCCTGTGTTTGTGGATCCATCAGTCAATTTAGCTATTTCTACTGGATCACAAGGACTGGGTTCGAGATGGTTCCTCTACCTCATCCTTGATCAGCTCCCTCATGCTCGGACTTGAATTCTAGCAAATGAACTTTGAAGGTATTAGGGGTGCTTTGTTAGCCCAGGGCCTGAGAAGAGACACACAGCTCCATGTATGAACATTGTCTGATGGGTGCTGGTAGGCCCATGGATCTCTCTACCGGGGAAAATTTGTTCTGAATGAGACCCACCATTCCTTTCAGAAGCTGATCCATGAAGGCAGAATAATTTCAAAGTAAATCTTGACTGAGGGTTTTGAAGGAGCTGGTGTTCTCCATCAGAGTCCCATATGCCCAAAGTATCAAATCTAGCAGTAGGCTATTTTTGACTAAATGACTCATCCAGAGTCTCCCAGACAGATCTGTGTGAACTGATGCAGAATGAAGGGAGAAGAACCAGGAGAGCAATGTACAGAATGAGCCCAATAATAAAAACTAACACAGAAAGTCCTTAGAACTCAGATCAGTGCAATAAAGTTCAGAACTAATGGTGAAGGGAACATGCATTAATGTGGTGACCCCTAAGTGCAGAATGGTGCATTCATTTTCACACACCACCAATGTATTGATTTGTTTTTCTTGATTATATGATTTGTTTTAAGGCAGAGTATGGGAGCGAGCAAAAAGGAGACAGTGATGTATAGAAAGAGCATTTAAATCTTCTAAAATTTATGAATTGATCTGATCATTATAGAAATCCATTTGTAATCATGCCAAGAATGTGACTAAAAAATCTATACCCTTTGATGCTGAGGTCCTACTGCAAGGTTCTTCTAGAGCTCTTGGAGGTGTTCTTCAACATTGTCCAATGTGGGGCTATTCTCCAGGAGGCGGGGGAGGCCCAGCAAGTTCATGGCCCGTGAGTTGAGATATCACAAAGATCCTTGTTTCTCTTGTTTCAATACCAAGTCCTCATAGTTCCTGAAGGCTCTTCTTTGTGTAAGAAATTCTGGCCACTTGCTGAACTAGCGTGGCAGTTATTGCCCGGCTGGTGGATCAGAAAGCTGACGTCACAGTTTCTCATGTTCTTCATTCTCATCGTGCAAGGCCATGACTCCCAATTCTCTGTGGCTTGGTGTAATTGCTCCTGGAGACTGACATTCAGAGCCTCTAGCCCCACTGCCAGGTGCCCAAGTCGCCTCACTCCAGCAACTGGCTTGGCCAATGCAGGTTCAGAGGAGTTTGAAAAGGGAGGCCATTGGCTTCCCCAGGCTTGGGGATTAGCAGGAGATTAGCAGGGCAGTCTTTGAGAGAGTAAACAAGGCCTTGGCAATAAAGCCCAACCAACCCCAGGCCATTTCAAAGCCAGAGGGAGCCAGGAATCGGGCAGAGCCAAATGGCAAATAACAAAATCCAAGGCCAGAAAGTCCAAATGCTGAAAGGTAACCAATCCAGGGGCTAATCAGGAAAGCAGCCAGGGATTCACAAGGGAGGGGGATTCAAGACAAGACAAGCGGCAGAGACCAATGGGGGAGGTGGCTAGGTGCCCATGATAATTTACTTCACTCAGAGACTCAAAGCAATGATGCTTTACGGTGAATACAGTACCAAGCATGCCCTAGGCAGGCCAGCCTAGCCGAGGCAGGGAGAAAAAAGAGGTGGCTTGTGCCACTACTATTACCTCAACCTAGACCTTCCTACAGATCCTGATAAAAGCCAGCCCAGGACCCGGAGGCCAAGAGTCCTGGGAATGGCAGTGAACCTGCTCCTCGGGCCACCAACCCAGCCCCAGCAGCCGTCATCCCAGGAAAAGACTCCTGGGACACTCAACCCTGAGTCTCCTTCTGCAGGTGTCGAAGCCCCTGCATCTTAGTAGCCACAGGTACCAAAGACCCAGAAAAGAAAGTTCTTGACTCCAAAGTCCTTAGCTCTGTCAAGTGGCTCAAAATCAGAAGCAGACATTGATTTTATCAGTGGAAACAACACTGAAGAGGTAATCCCATCTACTTTGCTTGGGTACTTATGGATTTATGAAATCTCCTATACAGGTGAACTCCTTGAGAGCAGGGGTTATCTTGTTTTTTCTTTTGTGCTTTGCACATAATAAACTCTTAATAAATGCTATTCATTCATTCATTCATGCCCCTCATTGAGCTGAAGGTGACCAGCTGTATTCTCAAACACTAGCTGTTACTCCAGAGCTTTCACAACTTCTCATCTGGTCTCCCCCATCTCAAGTCTTTCCTTCCCTAAATGTATCTCTCATACGGTTGTCTGACATGCTAGAATGGAAGCTCCCTGAGGGGAGAAATTGTTTCATTCTTCGAATGTATGTCCCCAGTGTCCAGCACATAATAGGCACTAAATAAATGCTTGTTGATTGATTCATAGGATCAAGGACCTCAGAGGTCATTTATTACAACTCCCTGTTTTACACAGGAGGAAACTGGGGCCCTGGGAGACTGTGACTTGCTCAAGGTCACATCAGTAGTAAATTTCAGAGGTAGAGCTGGAAGTTAGCTCCTCTGTCTCCAAAGTCAGTACTTTTCCCAACGTGCCGTGATTAATTGACTTATTTTCCTTATGTCCAGATCTGTTTGTGTCGTTCTTTTAGAACCATGGACCTAGAACTGAAAGGGACCTTAAAGGTTATTTAACGAGTCTAGCCACCTCATTTTACAGATAAGGAAACTGAGGCCCAGAGACATTGACTTGCCCGAGGTCACACAGGTAATAAGTGTCAGAGACATATTTGGACCCAGGTTTTGTGTGATTCCAAATACAGGGTTTCTTTCACTGCATCATATAGTGCCTCTCCTGCTCAGAACTCTTCCATAGCTCCCCATTGCCTCTCAAATAAAGTACAAAATCCTTAACCTGACATTTAAACCATTCCCCCTCTCCCCACAACCTGGCAGCATCTTCACCTTCCAGCCTTATCTCAACCAGCTCTGTTCCATGTGTGCTGTTCTCTAGCCAATGTGAATGATTTACCAGCCCCGTGGGCCTTCCTCACCTTCCTGCGTTTGTTTTCACCAAGTCTGGAATGCCTTACAATTCCCTGCACTCCCCACTCCCCTGCACCTTCTCTAAGGCAGGGGTGTCCAACTCAATTAGAAACAGGGGCCACTAAACTGTATGTAGGGTTCCCTCATATTGACTTGGAAAACCACATACAAACACTATCTACGTCCTGTTGGGTTTTAATTTATTTTGTTAAATATTTCCCAGTTACATTTTAATCTGGTTCAGGTTAAACTCTGACTGAGTGTTGCATCATGCAAAGTATGTTTGACACCTCTGCTCAAATGCCACCTATTCCATCAAACCTTTACTGATCTCCCAGTCAAATGAGATCTTTCCTTCCTCCAACTTAGCATAGGAAAATGTACTTAGGATAACGAGATTTAGAGTTGGAAGGGATCAGTACTCTTCCTCCATCCCCCCAGGTCATCAGTGGCTCCCCGTTGACTTTAGGATAAAATATAAATCCTTTCACCATATGCCTTCAGTTCATCTTTTCAGCCGGAGCTCATGTTATATGCCATCCTATTCTACAATGTGGCCTAACTGAGTGGTTCTTACCTCTTCCTCCACAACATTTCGTCTTTCACTTCCATGTTGTTACAGGCTATTCTCTGCCTGGAAAACTCTCCCTACTTGATTCTACCTCTTAGAAATCCTAGAACCCTCAAGGTTCACTTCTTCCCATTATTTTTCCTTCCCACCCCCAACCTCCAATCACTGTGTAAGGTGGCTCAGCAGATCAAGAGCTGGACCTAGAGTCAGGAAGTTCTGAGTTCAAATCGAGCCTCAGATACTTTCTAGCTATGTGACCCTGGGCAAGTTACTTTACCTTCAGTTTCCTCATCTGTAAAATGGGGATAAATAACAGCACCTCCTTCACAGGGTTGTTGTGAGGATGAAATGAGAGAACTGTAAAGAACTTTGCAAATCCTAAAACATATAATTGCTAGCTGTTATTATTATTATTATTATTATTAATCAGTGAATGTGTTATATCCCTCTAGCAGACTTTGAGGGCAGACACTGTCATGCTTTTTTATTTGTATACATAGTGCTTAGCACATGGTGGGTGCTTAACGGTTGCTTGTTGGCTGAATACAGATTAAGAACCTGAGGTCCAGTGAAATTAAGTTACTTGTCCAGTGGGGTCTCACTGATAATCAGTAGCAGAAGTGACCTTCTACCTCAGGTCTTCTGACTCCAAATCCAATGTTCTTTCCACTACCTCATCATTCTATCCCATTAGTCTAGTCTATAATGGATTGTAGTTGCAGTATATTTGTTGTATGATATTGTGTATTCCCCATCAATAACTAGGGTGGTTCAACTGAGTCTTTGTCCCAGGAACCAAAATTTAGAGCCTGTTGACAGTACTTCAACACCATTAAAAACACAGAGCAGCTAGGTGGCAAAGTGGATAGAGCACTAGCCCTGCAGTCAGGAGGACCTGAGTTCAAATCCCACCTCAGACACATGATGTTTACTAGTTGTGTGACCCTAGGCAAGTCACTTAACCCCATTGCCTCAAAAAAAACACAAAAAACACCATATAAACAACTGAGCTTAATAACTAATTAGTAAGAATAATGACCTGAATTGTGAAGTTACCATATGGGGAGATTCCCCCAGGGACCACAGTGCAAAATCCAGGGTTCCCTCTTCTCCTTCAGTTTATTTGCCCCAGGCCAAAAAACTGCCAGTCATGGCTCTAGTATTTCACAGTAGAGTCTAAGCTTCGTGATGTCACAGGCCATGTTTTTTTTTTTTAAATCCTTAATGTTTAGTATGGTGCTTAATAAATGCTTGTTGACTACTGCTGTGTGACCTGGGGAGTAATAATAATAACTAACAGCTAACATTTATATAGTACTTATTGAATGCCAGGCACTGTGCTAAGTGCTTTACAATTATTACAATTACTCCATTTGATTCTCACTGATTCAACCCTAGATTGTTGTTCAGTTATTTCAGTCATGTATGATTCTTTGTGACCCCTTTTAGGGATTTGCTTGGCAAAGATAACTGGAGTAACTTGCCATTTCCTTCTCCAGTTCATTTTGCAGATGAGGAAACTGAGGCAGACAGCAGTTAGGTAACTTGCCCAGGGTCACACAACCAGAAAATGCTAGAGGTGGGATTTGAATTCAAGTCTTCCTGACTTCAGGCCACTGTGTCACCTAGCTTAAATTATCTTGGTGGTACAGGAGAAAAAAAAAGCTCTGACCTTAGAGTCTAGGGACCCTGGGTTCAAACCCCTACTCTGCACTTATTATCTTTGTGACCATGGACAAGTCACAGACATCTTTGGGCCTCAGTTTCATCACCTGGAAAATGAGGGATTGTATCAGATGAATTCTAAGATCTCATTCAGCTCTTCATCATAGTTCCTGTTACTTCTCAGTCCCTCCTTCCCCATCTCCAAGACTATAAATTACATCTGTACCAGTAGAGGAGTTTCTCCATAAAGAAAAAAAATATTATCCATTTTCACTCTTTTTGCTCCAGCAACCAACAATTAAAGAGTGTGAGGAAAGCAAAGATGTAACAATGCTTGTTGAAATTTATCCCTTCCCTCCACTACCCGCGAGCGCGCACACACACACACACACACACACACACACACACACACACACACACACATACACACCTCTTTCCAGGCCCATGAAAATTTCAAATTCTACTTAGTGCCTGAAACAGCTTAAATGAAAACCAGAAGGTCATTTCCTGCACAAAAGTCAAAGTCAAGTGCTCAAGGAATGTCATTAACAGGGCTTAAGTGAAGTGGGCAGAAGGTGTTTCTGGGAGCTGGGAAGGCCTTCATGTCCTGACTAGGGACCATGGCAGGGCATCAGATGGGAGAATGCTTGTTGATTGACTGAAACCCTTCAATGTCTCTGGTCTGTAAGGAGGAAATGAGGAACCATTTCTATGCCGTCCCGGAACTCCGGGCAGCTCGACCGCTCCTTTCCCCTCCTCTCCTTGGCCAGTTCTTGGACATTGATCCAGCTTTCCCCAGAACCCAAGGCCTAGCCGCACAGCTGAAGCTCGGAGAACAAACCCTGGGAAATAAAACAGTTTGCTTGCTTGGAAAGTTGGCCACTGCAGCTGGTGGTTAA